CAACTGGGCAGGAAAGAGTGGCGAGGTCCTCACCGTGCTGGCCAATTTGGCAAAATCCTGCCCCGCGAACTTGACCACATCCCCCACCCTCAAGATGGGGCAGAAGGGGGCCTTGTCAGGGTGGAAGCGGCACGTCTTGATGTCAGCGGTGGTCAGGTTGGGGAGGAGGTTTCCCCTGCGAAGGAGGAGGGGGCGAGGCCCAGGGTTAATGTGAGGACAGTCACGCACCGATTCTTCTCTGGCCTTCCCGAGCCTCAGGGCTCTCGATCTCTTGGACTCCCTTCCCTCTGTCCCTGCATCTTTTTGTATCTCCCAACACCCTCTCTCCAGTATTAGCTTCTGTGTGCTGGGGCTGGGGTAGGGGCGGCGGGAGCCCAGTGCTCTTGGCTCCTCCTCTGTCCTCCCTGCATTGTGTTTTGCACACGGCCGACACCCATCCAGGCGTCGCTGAAGAGGGGCTGAACTAAGAGAAAAGGACGCCCCCACATGGGCTTGAGTTGGGGAGAAAAGAGGTGGGAGGGGCCCCTCGGCCCCCACCTCTGGAGGCATCTGAGTTCCAGACCCAGGTTCACCCTGTCCCTGCCCTCTGAGGGGTCCTGAGCCCCAGGGCAGGGATGCCGGCAGGGAAACTGGCCCTGGAGTCCACCTAATGCTGGGCGGTGGGGGCTGGCAGGGAGGCTGGGAAAAGAAGCCCCGGGGAGCTGGGGGTGGGGAAGAAGGGGGCGTCTCACACCTGGGGAAGCCAGGTGCCAGGGCGGTGGGGGGCTGGGACTCACTTCTCGAAGTTGAAGAGGGGGAAACGGATGCTATTCTTGATGAAAATGGTGAAGTTCTCAGCTTCCATCATGACAGGCCTGTGGGCGGGGACAGGAGACCTTAGCTTCTTGGGAAGAAGGGGAAATGGGAGAAGTGTTCACCCCAGGACCACCTTCTGTGGCGTCTCCCAGTGGGCATGTGGTCATGGCCTCTCCGGGTCTGAGGTCAGAGAGACAGGAGGGTGTCGGGTGCAGCGAGCTGGGGAAGACGCCATCCGGAGGCCACTTCTCGGTCCCGGGAGTGGACGGTACTGGGGGTGCCCACGAGAGCCCTGCATGCTCAGAGATGTAGGCTCCCCACGCTGGCAAAGCAGAGCTGGGGCAGGTCCTCCCGCCTCCCGTCCACCCGGGGTCCTTACGTCTCCACCGTGTCCACCTCGGCGGGGCACCAGCCCTGGACCTCACAGGTCTGGAGCACGGAGCTGTAGTTCACGCAGCGGCCGGTGAGGATCCCTACAGGGCACAGCCACGACACTGGGTGCACGCCTGGCCCTTCGCCCCTGCTCTCCCTCCCCACCCCTCCTCGTCAGGACGTCCTCTCATGAGGACCCCATAGGTGGAGGGAAAGGACAGGCCAGGTAAGGGAGATGGACTGGGGACCTGTTAGCCCTGCAGAGCTCTCCCCCTTCGCCTCCCGAGCCCTAGGCCAAGCCGGGTCGGGGGTGACAGCTCTCCTTCACACAGCGCAAGCCCCGGTCACCCTGAAGACCCCTTCACATCATGTTCTTTTTTTTGCCTCTGAGCCTTTGCTGTCTCTGTTCCTTCTGACTGGAATGCCTTTTTGAAGCCTCTCTCTTGCCAAATCCTACCCACCCTACAGGGCCCATTGCAAATGGCACTGCCTCTAGGAAGCCATTTGGGATCACCCATCAGGAGCTTATCTCTCCCTCCCCGCAGGACCCCACTATACCGCCATGACAGCACCTGCCACCTGAGAGCACACCTGTCTGTCACCACCATCCCTGGACTGGGAACTCCCCTGGGTCTGACCCAGAGAGGGCACCCATCACCGCTGGCAGAGTTACATGGAACAGGCCGATTCAGGCTCCCTCTTCCAGGCTGGGCTCTCCTCTGCGGGGGACCTGCTGCCCTCTGGGGTCCCACTAACACTGGGGTTGTGAGGGGGTGGGGAAGGGGCTGCACTCACCCCCGGCCGGGAAGCGTTCGGGCCCGCACTGGCTGTCTGATACACAGCGGAACTTCTCCTCGCTCTGTGGGGAGACAGGTGGGTGCAGGACCTGCACTGGCCCTGGGGTGCCCCCCCCCCCCGCTCCAGCAGCTTCTGGAGGGTGGAGGCCCTGGGACACAGCTCCAAGGCTAGACCCTGGGCCTCTGCTCACACCCTCCCCCACCACCAAGCTGCCCTCCCCCCACCATTTTCTTCCTTGACCTGCTTTGTCCAGCCTCCCTGCCTCACCTCAGGGCAGAATCCTTGCATCTGGTTTTCAGTAACGATCATCTTGGTGATGATGACAAAAACGGAGGTGCCCTTGGGAGGAAGAGAAAGGAGAGGGAAAACGCAACAGTGCCAACCGGTGAGGGGGGCACTACAGCTTTCCCCACCGTACGGATGAGGAAACTGAAGCTCAGGCTCAGAGAACTGACCAAGGTCACAGAACTAATACAAGGCAGAGGTGGGATCCAAACCAGGCTCTCCCACCACCCGCCTTGCCCCTCTGGCTCCCTCTGTGTGTTGTCCCTGATTACAGGACAGGTTGTGGCAGAGCTGGAGAGGAACCCAGCTCCTGCCAGTGCCTAGTGCTGCCTCGTGGGAAGGCCAGCCCACCCCCCCAGCACCTCCCAGTTACTGGGGAAGGGGCTCTCTGGATCACGGATGAGGCAGAATCCGGTTTGGGAAGCCCATCGGTACTCTCCTTGCCTTGCCCCCTCCCCTCCAAACTGCCCAGCATCTGGGCACCCACACAGTGCCCCAGGGCTGGTTAGGGGGACTGTACCTGGGGTGGGGTCACATAGTCAGACACGTCCATGACTCGGTTGGCGTAGCGTCCAAAGCCCTTCACCTTGGTCACCACCGAGGACTCAATGGCCGTGTCCCGCACCTGGTATGCCTTCTCATGCAGGAAAACCCACCTAGGCGGGAGAGCAGGGGTGGAGAGCAGCGGAGAAGGGATGAGACCCATCAGACAGAGGCGGGGAGAAGCCCCTTCCTGCCAGTGTCAGGAGGACACGGGGTGCCTGGCGGGGAGGTCTGTGCTGGAGGCGTGGGGCCCGGGTGAGCCCTGGGTCGACTTGGACTACTGCTTCTCCGCCCTTCCCCCCATTCCCCCTAGGGAGCCTCTGTGGGCTTCTTTTTTCCTAGTTGTGCCCTTCCTTGAAATTTTAATACTATAGATATCATTTATGTACTGTTTGTGTATTTGCGCTTTATTCATAAAAAGTTAGTTTTTAAAAAATTTCCCAAGAACCAGTTTTCACCCCTGTTGAGAATCCATTATCATTCCCACTGACGGTGGAGGCCGCCTCTTTGGCCTCTGGAGAGAGAGGAGGGAGAGGACCCTAGGCCTGTGACCTTGTGCATCCCAGGCTTTGTTCACGACTGCATCCTAAGGGCTGGCATATAGTAAGTCTTCAGCAAACAAGTCAGTGAAGGCTCTGGGAGCTGGGCCCTCGGCAGTCTCCGTGCAAGGGTCAGGTGAGAAGAGACGGAGGGTGGCGGGGGTGGGGGCCAGCTTGCTGAACCGTCACCGGGCAGGTAAATGGAGTTGGGTGGGAAGGGGAGGCGGGGCTTCTAATCTTATTCCTTGGATTGTGCTGCCACCCAGTGGACATTTACCTGTAGTGGTGTCTCCCTGCAGCTTGAAGCCAGTGCTGGACCACGTGGATCAGGGAGGGCCCCCTTTCCTTCTTCCACCCCACCCCCGCCTCCCTCCCCAGACTCTGCCAGCCTTTCCCAGCACCAGAAAGGGCCTGCCCACAATATACTCCCGGGAGACAATTCTTTCCTCTGCATTTCTGTGTGGTGCCCGCCCTTCCATGGGAAATCACGCCTCACAGCCCTCAAGGCTCAAGCCACTCTCGGCTTCTGTGCCACACCGGGCAGTCCTACTTGCTGCTGACTGCACGCGGGGAGAGATGTCACTGTCCCCACCGTGCAGACGAGAAAGCCTCATCAAACACATTTCAAAAACGCTGCACAATCTCCGCTTTGGAGAAACACTGGCGACGTCTCATGGAACCTAGGAGCGCACTTTTGGAAATGCTTGGTTAGGGTTCTTTTCTGAGGCTGACCAGGGTGGTACCAGGCTGGAGAGCCCCCATCATATGAAAATGAATGGAAGGAATGGAGACTGTGGCCCAGGGAAGACAAAGTGGGGGGTGCAAGGCTGAGAAGCACCTGAGGGCAGCGTGTGGGCTGATCTGAGCACTTTATAAGGCAGGGTTAGGACTTCAAGCCCAGGAGCTTCCTAACCCCGGGGTCCCCCGATGTTGGCAGGCACAGAAAGGAGCAGTTCTGGGTCGTGCGGGGGTCATGGTCACGTGTGGGGTCCTGTTGATGGGAACACGGGCTGACGTTTGCAAGCAGCTCCTCCTTCAGTTTCCAGCAAGAGGATCTGGAGTCATCCTCGTATTAGGGCCTCCCTCAGGCGCCTAATTCTGAATGCTGTCTGTCTTGAATGGAAGAGAAAGGGTGGCCCCAGCCAGCATTGGCAGAGAGGTCCTAAACTGTCACCTCTGTTATTGTTTCTGCCTCATCCCAGGCGACACCCTGATTCATGCAACATTAAGAGCTGTCCGAGCACTTGTGAAACACTTTCGGGAACACCTTGCCTCCGTGGAAGTCACCGGTTTGGTCTGCTTTACGTCCCCAGCACTTTCTCCTGCTTTTCAGACTGGAAGGGGTTTCATCAAGGCCTCCAAAGGGAGTGTGATTCACATAGAAATCCCACCCGCCACCTTACTCCCTGGTGGAAGGGAAGGGCACGTCACTGTCGTGGAAAATGGTGAAGTCATCCAAATGAGCACCCTCAGCTCGTGGGCTGGGGCCCTCGGAGTGAAGGGAGCAAGGTCCCAGCTGGAACACCCATGCCGCTGCTGGACCCTCACCCGAGCGGCAGCCACAGGCGCCACACACCCACCGGGAGCCTCGTGTGCCTGGCCACGGAGTGGACACACCTCTGAGTGTCCGTCAGCCAAATGCTTTCCTGAGGCCCCTCCCCGGTCCTAAAGTCTGGGAACATTCAGCCGAGAAGCAGAGTTGAGCTGATTAGCATCAACACAGCGTGCTGAGTGTCATAGGTGTTGAGGATTCATTGAATCCTTACTCCCAACCCAAGGAGGCAGCTGCGTTATTGTCTTCATGTTACAAAGGATGCAACTGAGGCACAGAGCAGAGCATTCGCCAAGCTGGCATGTGGGTTCCAACCCCGGGAAGCAGCTACAGGGCGCTCACCGCCACCCTGCAGGATCTCCAGCTGTGCCCCAGCTCAGGGCCAACCGGACTCTGGTCCTTGTCCTGCTGGTCCTGCCCCATCACCAGGGACAGCTCAGGGAAGTCTCACGAGGAAGAGCCCAGGGCTCCAGGGCAATTAACCAACCTCTCTCCTTCTCCTCCTCCTCCCTCAAGTTGGGAGGTGAGGCCACATCAGAAGTTTCTCTCTGAGTTAAATGACAAGTGAGAGGATTTCAGTGGCCCCGGGGCCCGAGGATGTCACCAGGGCAGCTCAAAACCAAGGGATGGTTCATTTCCAGAGCGGAGGGGCTGAGTCTGTCTCCAGAGGCCAGGGCTGAGGAGCTGGGGTAGGACTGAGCCTTCAGTTCTTGGCATTTACTCAGCTGCTCTGACTTCTTTTTTTTTCTCGCGTTCCTGGTTTATTATTTATAGAGCGGAAGGCGGGTGGCAGCTCCTTGGCCGGTGGGATGTGGAGGAAGGAGGCCAGAGCAGCGTCCCAGCACCCTCCTGTCCACCCCTGGGGAGTCAGGGAGGAGGCCAGCGGGTGGGTGTGAGGAGTGTGCGCTGGGGTTGCCGTGGGGAGAGGAGTATCTTAGGAAGGTGTGAGCTGGGCAGAGGGAAAGCGGGGCCTGCTGGGGTCTGTGAGATAGTAACAATTACCATCACTTTCCGAGTCACTCATCCCAGACCGACACTGACCTAGCAGCGTCCCCGTGCCATGACTCTCTGGAGGAGGCATTGTCAAAAGCATCTTCCAGGTATGGGGACTGAGACGTAAAGGGACCAGGCTCCACTCTTGGCTGTGGGTTAGAGCCAAGCTTTTAACCAGTCTCCCCATCACTGGGCTGTGGTGAGGGAGGAGGATGGGGTGGGGGCTAAGAAGGTGGAATTCCAGGCCCTTCTCTCTTTATTTATTTATTTATTTATTTATGGTTTCTTTTTGGGGGGGGTGGTAATTAGGTTTATTTATTTTTTAGAGGAGGTACTGGGGGTTGAACCCTGGACGTCATGCATGCTAAGCATGCACTCTACTACTGAGCTATACCCTTCCCCTCCCAGGCCCTTCTCTTTAACTCAGAGCAGCTCCCTCTTTGCACTGCTTCATACACTCAGCCTTTACGTAAGGTTTGACCTGAGGCTGAGTATTAAGCACCAACGTGGGAGGCCCTGCAGCCAGTGAGGCTGTGGATTGGGCCTGGGAGGGGGAGGAACAGGGTGGAGAGAGCAGGGCTGGGGTGGGTCACGGATGCCATCAACCGCCACAGGCCCTTCCTGGGCTGGAGCATCAAAGCTGGGGTGCCCCATGGCTAGTCTGCAGGAAGGTGGCTTCCTCCAGGAAGGACCCGGAAACCAATCTCAGACCAAGCACTGGCTGGCGCTTCTGAGGACTCAGGTCCCAAGGATCTTCCTCTTCTTCCTCCTCCTCAGGTGCCCACAGGATCCAGGAAGGGGTTTGGCTCTTAGGAAGCCCCACCCCCCAAGAGGAGACGGGACAGTACCACCTGGGCCCAGAAAAGACGACGTGAGAAACACCAGGTGAGTTCTGGCTTCTGTGGGCGCCTGGGGTGGGTAAGGAAACCAGTGATGAAGTGGTGTCAACCACAGGCAAGCAGCTGAAATGGCGGGGTGTGTGCGTGCGTGCGTGCGTGCGTGCGTGCGTGTGTTGTGTGTAGACGATTAGGTGGTGTGTGGCTGTGGGTATATCAAGAGAAATATTTGGCTCACATCACACGTCCTAAGTAAATTTGGTCTACCTAGCAGGGCCACCACGGAAGAGATTCAAAGTATTAGTTGAGCATTAACATCAAAGCACTAAAATCCTTTCAGACACTATTAAGTCCAAGCCACGGTCATGTCTCTTCATATGACTGAACTGCTGCTTATCAGGTTTTCCTGCATCCACTTCTGCCCACTCCAATCTGTCGGTGTATCAGCTGGAGTGATCTTCCCAACTCTCTCTCTTGCCTCACACACACACACACACAGGCTAAAACTCATCAGTAGCTTCCCATCCATTACTCTTCTGTAAAAGCAAAGCCTCTGAGGGGTCTGTGCCTGTGACCCCACCCCCACCCACCCCAGCCCCACCTTTGCTTCCTCTGCTTCAGCCATGAAGACAGTTTCTTCTCCCCACCCACCAGGCTCTTTCCTTGGGTTTCTTGGCCTTGAATCCCCTTTTTTCTCTTCTTTCACCTGGCTTGCTCCAACTCACCCTTCGGCTCTGGGTTTAAATGTCACTTCTCCAGGAAACCTTCCCTTACTTCCCAGACCAGGTCAAATACCTCTGTGCTAGCCGCCCTCCTGGCTCGGTGGGCCCCTCCTTCCGAACCTGAGCCACAGCTGGAATTTTACATTTGTTGCGGAGATAACTTGATTAATATCCTCCTCCGGCACTGTGAGCTCTGTAAGAGTGAGGACCCTTCCTGCTTCTGCCCACTGTTCCCTCCTTCGTGCAGAATGCCCGACACAAAGAGACGCTGCTGTATCTACATTCCTGCTACATTAATAACAATGGGTTCGTGAAGTCCTAATGGTGTGTGGGCTCGTGTGCATGAAGAGATGGGGTTCTGGCCAGGGGCTGGGCTGAAGAGTGCACTGATGTAACTGCCAGGCGCTGCTCCGTGGGGAGCTGTCAGGTGGGGAGATGGATGGGGTCGGATATCAAGACGCCGATGAGCCTCTCGGGCCGCCCCAGCAGGCTGGGCTCCAGCCCTGAGGATGGAGCGTCAGGCTGGATCAGGCTGAGGGAGAGGCAAGGGCAGGTGGGGGGCGCTGAGCGGGCTGGGCCCGGAGCCTGCCCTGTCTGCCCTCCATCAGTCTCCTGCCGGGAGCCCGGGGAGCCAGGCCAGGCCAGAACACGCGGAGGCAGCGTTTGCCCTCACCTGGACCAACATAACATCCTGTGGCTATAAACAACTACGGCATCAACCATCCACGTGAACACGGAGCCTTTAAGAACCAACTGGGAGCCAGGCACTGGAGATGCAGACAGGGAACACTTGCAAACATACCGCACACAACCTCAGAATTGGAAGGGACTGTCAAAGCCATTAGTCCTGCCCCAAAGCTTGCATTCCTTCTCTGATATCTCCACCAGGAGCATCGGATGTACAGCCTTGCCTCTGACACCCGCAGAAATGAAGCCTACTGGCTCTCACCAAGCACGTATAGCAAAAAAAAAAAAAAAAAACCCTTAATCCACATCATGCCACCTTTCCACGCACACCCTCACACGCTCCTCCGACCTCGCAGGCCAGCAGGCCCGCTCCCACAACTCCAGCCCACATGCACACAGGTTTCCTGCATGACAGTCATCAGTGGCTTTCAGTTTCGCACACGAGACCCGCTGTTTCAAGGAGCAGCGTGAGGCTAGAGACTCGATCACCAGGAAAGAAAACCCGTGAGATTTCTGCAGGTCTTCCCTGGTGCGAATGACCACAAGAGGGACAGAACCCGTGTTTCCCCCCGGCCATTGTCTGCTCCATGGACCTTTGTGCATATATGCCTGTGTGTGTTTTGGGGTGGGGTGGGGATGCCTCTAAGAGGTGGGGGCCAAGAGGCGGTGCTCAGATCTCGCTGGCTCTTAAGCAACTCCCAGGATGGGTCATAGGGTACAAAGTCAGGTAGACATGGGGATTTTATGCTTCCTGGCAAAGGGGAGCATCTCTGGATTCTTGAGGAGGGTCCGTACACCATGCACAGAAAAGCCACTTTTCTCTGCAGCAACTCTTCCCTTGAGTCTTATTTGCACCTGTTTCTGCACCCCGCCCCCCGGCTTTGTCCTGCTCTCCAAGGGCAAGGGCTTCTCCCCTCCCATGCTCTCTCACCATCTCCCCTGCCTGAGGGGAGTTCCTCACTCTACGGTGGGGCCATTCCCTCCTCCCCCTCCCCCATCCACCTGATCAACCATCACCATCTCCCTTGTTTCAGTGCTTTCCCTTCTCCTTTCCTGGCTCTCAAAGACTTGACTGAGAGGAGTGGGAAGATGTGTGTGTGTGTGATCTGTTCTCTGGCTGGGGGTGGAGGGAGATGAAAACTGGGATGGAGGGATGGTCACCTGGGACCTCTCCTGGTGGAGGGTTGGGGGGCAAGGACTCCCCTCCTCGGGGTGTGTGGCTTGAGGCCACCATCCAACTCTGGAGGATTTACTGGGAAAATAATTCATCTGGGAACCAGATCCCCAGTGGCGGCAGCAGAGGCCAATCATTGGGATGTGGTCCCACAGAAGAGACGGTTTCCCCCAGGAGAGGGGACGTTCAGGAAGCTGGACAGCAATACAGAGGGGAGGGAGGACAGGACACCAGGCACCGGGCACCGAGGACCTGAAGGGCCACAGACTCACCCCACAAAGTAGGAGATGATGAGGAGCTGAACTGCCCGGTTGATGATCCCAATGGTCCAGCTCTTCACAACCACCGACTTGGTGGTCTCGTAGGTGAAGAAGTCAGAAATGCAATTCATGTTGAGAGAAGGATCAGGGCCCCTCGGAAGAGACCCAGTGGTGGCCTTAGCAGGGAGAGGTCATCAGGATGGGGAGACAGAGATCAAGGCCTGGAGGGGGCAGCTTAGAGGGGCTCAAGGAACGGGGAGCCTGTTCCTTTAAGTCAGGCAACCCTAGCCCAGTGCTCAGTCTCGCTCTGCTTCTGACACTCTGGGCTGCCAAGAGTCCGAGGCCAGGGTGGGGGACCCCCTTTTTGTTCGTCTCCACCCCACTCCCCCGTGATGTCACAGCAGGGGTGGGGTCTTCAATCCCAGGCTCCTGATTGCCTGGGATGCAGCTGGCTGGGGCCCTCTGGGACTCATGTTTTATCTGCACTCTGTCTACGGTTTCTGTTCTGTTCTCTTATGCTGCGTTTACGTCCCAGCTCTCCAGCTGCATCATGTTTTCCTTAAAGCCCCTTGCAAGAGCCCACCTCCCTCAGCCACCTAATAGTCTGCCCGAGCTGAGTACCCCCTTCGTTCCTGAGTGTCTTCCCAAACCCGCTCAGTTCTGCTGCCATCCCCTCCCTTCCCAAGTTGCCACCAATAGCCTGGATCAAGGGGAGGGGTCTCTGGAACCTTTCTCTTGGTCCCTTGGGAGGTGTGAGTAAAGAGTCACATAGTTGGTATTTCCTACTCATGTTGACAGTGGCTGAAGCTCTACCTGTAGCACAGTGTCATCACATTGGGTTTTTGTTTGTTCTGTTTTGTTTTACTCTCAGTTTACTTATCTGAATCATTTGTTAGGTTACATGCTTCTGGAAGGCTGGAGCTGATTTCATCTTGGTTACTGCTTTCCTCAAATCGTATACCTGTGTTGGAGCTCAGCACAAATTTATTGAATCTAGACGAATGCTAGATAGTGCAGGAATTAGCCATGAGCCAGAGGTTAAAGCCATGAGCCGAGGGAGCACAGTGCATTCGTATTCTCTTATCTCAGGATGGAGTTAGCAAGCTGGTGCAACTGTTTCCGGTCAGACTGTCAGAGAAATCTTGAGTTTAAATATTCTGTCTTAATGCCTTCATACACAACCCATATAATTAGTCGTTCTGAATGGAGAGTCATGGTGATGATGATGGTAGAAAACCAGGCTGGGGTAAGTAGGTTTGGGTTCTTCGTTACCAACTGAGACCCTGGGCCACTCCTCTTAGGGCCTCAGTTTTCCCATCTGCAAAAGGAGGTGGAGCAGACAAACTCAAACGTCTCTTCCAGGTCTGGCCTCCTCTGATTTTGCAAGATGCACCCTAGGACTATGGAACTGGGGCCTGGCTTCTGCAGTCCCGAGCTGATGTGATTTCCAATCAGTTCCGGCTCCAGTAAATCTGACACCTGCTCTTGAACTTGATACTGCCGCTGGCCAGCGTCTTCCAGGCGGCTCACACCTCGCAGTCACCCATGTGGTCGTTTTTGGGTTGCGGGAACTCATCTCACAGAGGATCCAATCCCATGTGACAGGGGAGGGCAGTACAGTCACAGTGACACCAACACCCGCATTCTCTTCGAAGCCAGAGGGAGGGGTCCGTTCCCTCCACAACGCGAAACGTTTTTCTTCTTTTCCCACAGACTTTCTACCCCACAGAAACCACCATTGTACAGGAGAGGGTCACATACGTGCATCTCTGGAAAGTCTGATAAGATACAACTACGCAATTTCTCTTTAAAACCTAGTCGTCCACTGAAGAAATGTCTGTAATTTCTAAATAGCCCAAGGCGCTCTCACTTTCTGGTCGGATGTCAAGCGGGTACGACTTCAGCGCAACGGGGTGTTCCCCAGGTCATCCAGCGTCGCCGACGCTCTAGGAGACCGCCTCGAGGGCGGGCCCGGCTCGCGTCTCTCTAGCCAGCTCGCCCTCTCTATGGTCTGCGCCCGGCTTCCGG